GCAACAGCTTCTGCTCTGACTTGGTTTGTTACCACTTGTGAATCAACACCCCTATTAAAAACATCAACATCAGCACCCCATCAGCAAATCACCTCTGCTGTCTTTGTGAGCAGCCCTGCACAGAGCCTGGATGTGGCCAACTCCTGAGTGACCTAGGAGTTTAGTAAGATGTCAGCACCTCAAGGAAACAGAAGAAAAAGACAGCTTAGAGGTAGTGATGGAATTGCTGTCTAACATTAATGGCCTGGAGCAAAAATGACAAACATGCCACTAGTACAGCAGATGGGGATAAGATTTTATTTTACACAGCCCACCACTATTTTATTCATCTATGTGTACACACAGACACACAAACACATTCATATTATTCCTGGGTAACATTAAGGTCTGTGTTAGTAAGCGGCTCGTTAAATGTGTTTGAAAGGATCTATTCAACTCTCAGCAAGCAAAAATCTCCTTTCCCCTGTTCTTTTTTTTTCTTCCTTCTCCAATTAAATATTAATTCTGCATTTTGGAATGAATAAAACCTGCTGAAAGGAGGAAAATACTGCCCCAGCAATGAGTAGTAGAAGAAACTGGTAATGGGAACAAAGTAAAGGACAGTAAGGCAGAACAGGGAAACCTCCATGAAGAACCCTTAAGTGAAAGGGCAGGTACCTCAAGATCACACTTAATCAATAACTCTGATCATACACTACAAATAAAAAAAGACCATGTTTCCACATTGGCTCAGATGGACATGACTGCTATGTCAAAGGCCATTTAGTTCAATGGCTGTGACAGCAGCCAGTAGCAGATATTTCAGAAATAATAAAGGAAATAGAGTAAAGAACAATACTTCTACTGATGTTTTCCCCCAGGTGCCACAAACTGGCAATGTAATATTGCAAGGTTCTTCTGTCAGAGTCTTTGTTCACTGTCAGACTCCTCTCCCAGGTCTTTCCAGAAATTGAGTGATCCCAGCCCAGAAACTGTTCCAAACATCTGCTTTTATTTCCCATTAGTCAGCTACCAATACACAAAAAAAAAACAACCCTTCCCTTCTATGCAGTGACAGCTTAGTTTCCACAGGAATCTTTTGTGAAGGCCTGTTGAATGACTCTTGAGAAAGCCATACACCTTGCTGATAACCAGAGAATTTTAAAAATGTGACCTTACCGACTCCTTTGGGGTGTTTCATCAGATTTGAGACATGACGCCCCTCCAGTATTTATCTATGTATTCTCTAGCATAAATTCCACCAATTTGCATGCTATGGAGGCAACACACAGAAGTCTTTGAAACACAGTGGGACTCCTCCCCTCTCCATAAAGGTAAGTTTAAGCAAAGGAATTACAGAGAAACCAGGAACTACAATGTTTTAAATCATGCTAAGTACTTCAAAATGAATCAGGAAATAGTATAAACAATGAGAACATTTTAGCATGGGCAAGCAGGTTAAGAGTGTGTCATACCAGAAACTATTGAGAATTTGACAAAAACATCTTCTCAGCAGAAATCTTTTCAGTAACACAAATTACAGCCCTGCCAGTGGGACTGTGGCTCAGGGATGGCATCTCTTTTTCCCACCTCATCCCTACCTGACCATTGCCCATCTCTGATATTTCCAGGCCCCAAGGGGAGAGAAGGGGCTTTTCAAAGAGCAAAGAGGATGGAGAACTGAAGAACTCACCCTTTCCTTGTTTCAGGAAACAAGGACATCCAAGGTCGGTGCTCACTCTCACCAGGGACCTATTTCAGAGCTTCAAAAATCATCACTGACAAAAAAGCTTTCCTAACACGCAGCCTGAATTTTCTAACACAAGCCAGTTGCTCTGCATTATACAATTATCTGCTCTGCAGCCCCACAGAATTTCTTTCCTTTTGTATCCCCAAAATACATGTAGATACTGATACTCTTCATTTCATTCTTTTTATGATGCATTAGAAAACGTATTATCTACACCGATAATACATTTCAAGTCACACTGTGGTTTGGTCTCATTCTGTGAGAATTTTAACAGAAAAGGCAGATTATAGGTCTCTGTATTGGTAAGATCTAGGAGTTTGGGGGAGTTAGATATTAGTGCAGGGTTCCTTTCATATTATTATTTTTATCTCCCTGGTAGCACACAGATGCCTAAGGGCTTGCAACCTATTGCATGAGGTTCAGCACAACCCATACAGAAGTAGTGTTCCTCTGAAGATCTGAGTCAAGGATTTAGATAATATTAATTACACACCTCAGTCATTGTATGCTCTATTCAGAAGATTAGGCAGACGTTTTGGAGCAGCCCTACAAGTGCACGTGCCCCCACATTTTTTACTTTCTTTTAAACTCTTCCTCCTTTTCAAGTATGTGCTGCAATGCTGATTATAATATTTGCCTGCTTACTCTAGGGCTTTTCCCATCACCATGTAAAGCAAGACTTCAATATCTCTTCTGTATAATTTTCAGAAGTTCACACACAGTTTATACACTCTGCATAGCTTTAACATTCACTCCTGGCATGTTTGGCTGAAAATTCATACACAGCTATTTCTGCATTATAACTGTCTTTCCTCTTCTGTTGGTGCCATTGCTTCCCCCACACCCCTCCCCTCTCCCTTTTTCTTCCTCTTTCATACTCTAAAGACCTTTCAATCTATATTTGGTCCTTTATTTGTCTCCATATCTAGTCAGCTTTGCAAGCAATTTCTTTCATTTGCTAGCACCATTCTTATATTGTTTCCTTTCTTCTGTCTTTTTACCCCCAAAGCTGGTTAGAGGCTTTTTTCAAGCCATTGCTCTGGAGAGCACTACCAGACATTCTTAAGTAGGCTGAATGCATTCAGTCCAAAAGTTATTCCCTCAAGATAACTGCTACTGATGATGGGACATTTGGATGGTGTGACCTCCTTGTCCTCACTCACTGCTGTTCACAGTTAGTTTGTGTGATCTGGAGCATAGGTAGAGGAAACTAGGAAGAGGAGATAAATATCTACTGCAAATGAGGGAGGTGACAACAGTGAAGAAAACTAGGAACAACTCATCCTGAAACTGAAGCATCTGGATTTACAAATTAATGTAATTTCACTATTTCTCTGAATGCCACAGTGTGTGACCTTAACCATAAACAAAGAGAATGGAAATTAGGTTTAAAATGGAAAGCTATGTACATGGTTCCTGTTCTAACACTCCCCCTGGCAGAAAAAGCAGGAAGATTGTGCTTAGATTTCTCAAGATATTAAACATGTGGTAGTTGTCTCAAATCTTGTTAATACAGCTATGAATATGCCTTCTGAGGAGCAACTATGTTGCTTTTCCTTTTTATTTTTTGTGAGGAGAAAGCACATCTTTTGTCTCTTGCATTTTCCCACCTAGAAAGTACATAGCTTGAAGAAATTTTTCAATTTCCTTGTTTAATTGATTAAACTGAATATCAGCAGATCTAAGTGGGTGAGAGCTGAACACAGTCACCTATGTCAAGCTGCTTGCACAAGTAAATATTTGCTGGAGTAGGTCCTGTATTTGCTAAGTTTAACATTACAACATGAAGAAGGAACAATAGAATTTATCATGAAAACTGTAAAACTTTTCATTTTACCAAATAACATTCTAACCTGCATCCACATCTATGCAAAGCAGGTGCCATTTAAAATTCAGAACACTGTCCATAGTCTAAAAGAAAGTAATTAAAAGGTCCCACTGACCACAGTGATGAAACAAAAATACTAACACTATCATTTTCTCTTCAGTGACAACTCTGTCTGCTTGCTTTTCAACTTGGGAGATACTTACAACTTCTAAGCTACAATTTTTAACATCAATCTCTCACATCTGCTCACTGTGGTTACAACTCTGTCTTTGATAAAATGTTATCATACCTTCTATCTCCTTTTAGTCAAGCAGGAGCTAAGGGCTGTTTTGAAACTGACTTGAGTAATCAAAATGCAGAAGAAAAAAAAGCAAGAAAGAGTTTAAATGCATGTGCTACTTTGGCTACAAATGGGTGATTTTCTCCCATAGGGTGCCATACATCTGTTCCAGTTCTATCAGCTCATATCCCAGGATTATCTGTTCTGTCTCTGACTCGTGGCTCTTGGATCTGCAATACTATGCTTGACATCAATTTGGCTCATGAAATATTATCTTTCCAATTATAAATTAATTCATCCTTTGAAAAAGTAGTGTCCCACTTTCAAATGAAATTGTTTTTAAGAAAATCACACTTCAAAACATCAAGCACATATCCGTCTGTCTGCTTTCATAGAGAATTAAGAATTCTGACATCCTGAAATCATTTTAGATAGTCATTATGTGATGCAAAATCATCTGCTTTGAGAGCTGTATTAAAAACAAGCAAGTTTGTCTAAATAATACGAGAAGTAGCCCAACCCTTTACATTAACCTCAAAACACCATTAAATTGAAGTTTGAAGAAGTTTCAGCCAGTCTCTGCACGATTCCCTCACCCACAAGTATTTTAATGTACCTCAGCATCTTGATTTTAGAGAGAACTGGAATGCAATACAAGAAACTTGCTGTTCAGCAGACAGCATAATACACATAGGCAGTCTACTTGCCATATTTTTCATCCTAATCACTGAAAGAAGTGAAGATACAACCTTTATGAAGTGTCAGAAACTATAAATTGCAGAAAAGCAAACAGCAAAATTCAGACTTTACCAGGTTCCAAATCACTACGTGATAGATGAAAAACAATCAGAATCAAGAATAAAAACCAAAAAAAACAATTCAACCAGTAGAATGAAAATGAAATAATTATGACTTCTCATAGCCATATTAGAGACTATTAAGTGAAAGACCTTACACAAATACTTAGTGGAAATTTACGTGTAATATTATCCTCTTTCTGTGCGTAGCAGTCAATTAGTGATTATTCTACATGCTCATCTGTGAGCAGAACTGGTAAATAAGGGGAGTTTCTCTGCTTAATTCTATAACTAGAAATATATTTATTTAAATGAATGCATAATAATTTATTTAAAATAAAATACATTTATTTTTCTTCAGTGCTTATAATCACTAAATCCCATTTTAGAATTGAAGACAGTGGTAAACGTGCCTGCATTCTTTGTCAGGACTGGACCTACTGAAATTCCTGAATGGAAAATAGACTCCAATATAGAAGGCTGCAAAACAGAGTTTATACGCAGACATAAAAATCACAAAACTGATCTTGTATTTCTTCTATGGATACAAGAAAAGAATTACATGAAAATGTTGCAAGTTGCTCAAAGGGAAGATTCCTGATAAAATTGCAAGCATCTGTCACTAAACTGGGAGTCAATCACCATATGATGGTCTCAGGCATGACAGCTACTGATTATCACAGCACATTTGTTTAGAGTAAAGCCACTGTTGTGCTCATTATCCCTAACTTCACTGAGTAAATTTGTTTTTCACCCAAGATCTCAAGAATCTCTCCAATGGGGTTAATAGGAGTTCCTTCGTACACTTCAAGTGCTTTGGATATGTTTTGTATGCATCATACAAGTAGTAAAGAAAATGCACATAACGAATGACATAAGCAACAGTGTACCAGAGAATGAAGGTACAATTTAAATGTGCTAGGTGTTCTCTTGACTTCATTTTCAGTCTCCCAGATGATTGTTTCTAGTGAGGAAGACATACATAACTGCTCATTTTTGGCACTTGCAGTGGGTCAATACTGCTCAGCTATGAGTGTCTTCTTGTACTCAGGTTTCACGAACCATGTTGAGACTTAAAAAAAAAAAAAAAAAAAGAAGGAATGGTTACTTCCAAATAGGACCAATGTTGTTTATATGGAAGTTTATATGTTCTGAAGTTCATGTTTGCCATTTGATCGATGCCTCAGATCCAAGGCTCCTGTCTCTAAACGGAAGAAAGGGCTTCAGCCTTGAGACTGTAGCTGGATTATGAGCACAGGCACACAGCCCTACTTTGTATTTACCCACATGTGTGAAAATGATAGTATTATCTTCAGTGGTACATACCAGCTGCAGGGGCCGACGCAGCTAATGGACGTTTGTGGAGATGCAGGCAGACTGGGATGTGGCAGGTTTCAGCATGCTGGTTGAGGACATCACAATTTCTTATTTGCTGAACTTCTGCATTTATGACAGCAACCGCGGTGGAGATTGCTTTTGATTTTCCTCTCTATCTCAGTGTAGTACGCTAGCCAGCAACACTGCAGCTCTTAGAGAGTGTTCTCCAGCACAATGACATATTTTCAAGATGACAGCATTATGAACTGTTCCAAAGGAGCTATTTGGCTTTTAAGATGACTGCTCTAGAAAGAATCCTCTGGCTTAACAGCACCAGGAAAAGGGCAAGGGAAATACAGATGCTGCAATCTGGTTAAGGAAATGACAAGCTCCTGTGCTGTAGTACTTAAGCCTGGTCTCTAGCCGACACCATTTATGAGCTGTTACATACGGTTGCAATCACACACAGGCTCAGTGAGGCTTTCCACAAGGCTCACATTTGTTTTCACATTCCCTTTGTAAATGTGGTGCAAATGGTAGCAAATGGACATTAAACAAGGCTTGTATGTGGACTGATCCTTTGTAAATATATAGGTTATTATAAAAGCAAATAATAAGAAGTCAAACTAAAAAACAGCAGCCTCTGCAATAGAAATGAGTGAAAAATGAGTTGTTTTACACATACAGCATTTTCAAATGTGGGTTTTCTGTTTAAACTCTCTTCACTCCAGCCTCAACTTCTCTCTCCATACTAAACCTACAACTTATTTTACATTGCCATGGATACTTGGGATGGAAGACAGTGTGCACCAGCAATCAATTTTTCCACAGGAAACCATTCCAAGAACCCATCCCACATCGCCAGGCTCCTATATAGGTTTTGCTCAATAGTGCACAATCATTTTCTAAAGGGTATGACTAGTTGCTTCAGCTAGGTACTTCAGCTGCTTGTCTGCAAATATAGAACAGTCCCAAGGCTTTAGCACTGCCCAGGATAATTGCAGCTAACTGCATTTTGCTATCATTCACCACTGCTATGTATTGTTACCTTCCTAAGCAAGATCTGTTAGACTGCAAGAGGAAACATTCTGTAGGGTGCAAAGAAGAAATGCGAGCTGACATAAAAAAAAAAAATCATTAGGAGAATAAAATACCAAAAAACCCACAATGATAGCTAAACAGAAGAGAGTTCACATAAATTACATGGAATTGAAGATAATACAGGTCTTGAAAGGGAGTAGTAAGAAGCAGTTCATATGATATAAGCATCCCAGGGCAAAAAAAGTAGTTTTTTTTTTAAAAAAAAAAGCAAAGAAAATGGCAATAATAATCAAAGAGTGTAGGCAAACTGCATAGAGAACTTTTACTTACCTTAGCAGTCAGGAATGTGAGCCTTTACTTCTCAGTATTTGTTTCTCTTCTTTGCCTCGTCTCTAGAAATTTGTCCCATCCAGCACTTAGCTTCCATCAGGGCAATATTCAGTTAAGTGCCACAAGGTTTTTTCAGTCTTCTATCGTATTTCTCCCTCAAAAGAACAATATTGTTATTTTTACGCCTTCTGGAGAAAAGGTCAGTGGAAATCCAGAGGTGGTGGACTGGACTCAAGCAACAGGAGTGTGCGGTGACTTCCTTCCCTCTTTTCCTTCAGCTGGGACACAGAGCAACTAATCCCCTCGAAAAGTCCTTTCCCTCTGCCATTTCCTTCAGGTGTCCAGCAGCAACACACACAAAATCTCTGCAACCTTGGATCTGCTATGGCCCTTTCCATGGCCTTTCCTAGAAGAAAAGGGAGAGTCATAAGTCACGAAAGTGCAAGAGAAATGCAGCCTGGACTAACCCACCTCCTTGCCTGCTGCTGGAGCAGCCAGCGATGTCCTGCACAGCAATATTCCAGCACCCGAGGACACTGGTTTGACAGCCAGCAGCATAGCACAGAATCACAAAATGGCCTGGGTTGAAATGGATCACAATGACCACCTAGTTCCAACCCCCTGCTTCATGCAGGGTCACCAACCAGCAGTCCAGGCTGCCCAGAGCCACATCCAGCCTGGCCTTCAATGCCTCCAGGGATGGGGCATCCACAGCCTCCTTGGGCAACCTGTTCCAGTGCATCACCATCCTCTGGGGGAAAAACTTCCTCCTAATATCTAACCTAAACCTCCCCTGTCTCAGTTTAAAACCATTCCCCCTTGTCCTATCACTGTCCACCCTTGTAAACAGCCATTCCCCCTCCTGTTCATAAGCTCCCTTCAAGTACTGGAAGGCCACAATGAGGTCTCCCTGGAGCCTTCTCTTCTCCAAGCTAAACAATCTCAGTTCCTTCAACCTTTCCTCACAGGAGAGGTGCTCCAGCCCTCTGATCATCTTAGTGTCCTCCTCTGGACCTGCTCCAAGAGCTTCACATCCTTCCTGTACTGGGAGCCTCAGACCTGGATGCAGTACTGCAGATGGGGCCTCACAAGAGCTGAGCAGAGGGGGACAATCAGCTCCCTGCTGGCCACCCTTTTTTTAATGCAGCCCAGCACACAGTAGGCCTTCTGGGCTGCAAGCACACACTGCTGGCTCATGTCCAGCTTCTTCTCTACCAGGACACCCAGGCTGTGCCAGGTTGTGTTCAATAGGGCACAAGGTTAGTATTGCAGATACTGCCTTACTGAAGTAGGAGAATATACTTGATGGTTGTTTATTATTGTCATCAATTTCAGTAGCTCCAATTTAAAAGTCAACACTACAGATTCTGCTTTTTGATGCATAATTAGCCTCATTTTTGCCTCACCACATTTATATTCACTGACTTTCAGGGCAAAACCTGAGCTAACACCAAGTACAGTAACAAGGATGCATACTTTGGTACATGTTATTTTACATACTTCTTGTTCAAGTAAATCAATCTGTGATAAGATCGATTCACTTTTCCAAGGTTACAGAGTTCTTGCATAAAATGGAAAACTGTAACTTATTCCCCCAAGCCTTTTTTTTTTTTTAAAAAAAAAAAGAAAACACACACACCTTCCATATATTCCCTTCTGTTCGATCAAATAATTTTTTGGGTGTGCAGAGAAGCGTTGTTTTGCAATACTATACAGTCATTTCAGACATTCCTTTTGCTGAACTCAGTCCACTTACCTACAGCAACCTTAACAGATCAGACTAGAAGTACTTGGTAACATACAGTCACTCGTATTCTGCTCATTTCTCAATCTGCCAATATCTTAGTGCAAATTTTCATTTTGCCATTTACAGCTCAATACAACTAATAGTTGCGGTACTTTCTCTTTCCTCTACATGTTGCAATTCTCCCCACATCCTTCCCAGGGGAAGCATCATGTCCTCCTGGCTTGATCACATTAAATGCCTATTACTACAGGAGTAAAAACTCTCTTTAAGGCCTTTGTAAAACTCAGCCTTTAAATCACCATGGACCGCTACTTTACACACCTTAGACTTTTAAAGGTATATCCACTCCTCTCTTTAAAACCCAGCTCACCAAAACAGCCTTTTGTTAAATGTAGTTCATCTTGGATTCTGGACTTCTGAAGGGAGGAAGCTTTCTGACAAGGATGCTCTTACTTCTTTAGTCCTTCTTAGTCCTCGCCAGCATACATTTCATTTTGTTATATGGCTTTTACCATTCTTTCCCAAATATTCCAAAACTTGCTCCTTAGTTCCTGTTCTTTTAATTGATCATATAAGGGACTTCCTCCAGCCTCTATTCATATCAGGCGGCTGAATGCAAACCGTTCCCCAGATCAGATCCATTGGTGAGCGTTGAGACCATTTGATCACTGCTATGGATGTAGAAGTAAGCTGATATAGTCAGACACTCAAACAATATAGCATACCCATTATAAAGACAAACAAATATACTAAGCCAATAAAATAGCTGCACACCTCTCCCACTCAAAGAGGAATGGATCAGTTCCCGTGCTTTTCACACAGATTTTTCTTGTAACAGTACAACAGCAGGTATACCACTATCATTTGTCAAGTCCACTGGACAACAGAGCCTTTAGAAAACATTTGAAATTAATTTTCCTTGGTTCTCCCATTCCAGCAACGTTATTTTATTCTTCCCCATTTTCAAAGTATTCTCTCAGCACAGACATCGCAAATAGTTATAAATTGTTGAATATACAGTAATAAGGATTTTATTCTAAAACTAATTGCACTCTTTATAGCAGACATTAAAAATCTAGCTTACTTCTAGGCCTCAATGTACTGTTATTTCATTATTTTTTTTGTGTCCCAAAGCGTTTCCTATTATATATTACAGCCCTAAAATTGCCTACAGAAGTCTCAATTAGCCAGAACTTATTTCCTCATCAGCATTTCCTGACTGCGTAATCACTTCTCCCTGTCACCCTTTTGAAACCCCAAGTATTTCTTACTGCAGAAAAGGTATAAAAAATTTAATTCCCCGGGGTCCTCTTCTGGTGAGGGGTCATTAAGCCCTCCTCAGGGGAGCAGCAGAAGGTTCTTGACAGGCGATGCGGGCAAAGCTGTGGCCCTGGGATACATTTGTCAAAGGCTGCCATCCTGACTCACTTCTGTGCTATAACTGTATCTTCTTTTTCCCTGGGTTTTTCTTTCAGCCTCAGGACACGCTTTTTTTTTTTTTTATATATAACTATTTCCAGGAGTTTAAGTACACTTCATTATTTTCAGTGATGTTCCACCTTCCATTTCTTACTCTTTCCTTCATGTTATTTTTAACTGCTAATCAAATCCTCTTGAATACTCACATTTTGACATATTTGCTGTCTTGCCCCTGTCCTTTAATTTCATTTTTATGTTGGCCACAAGAGTTTGCCATCTGATATCGATGGTGTGCTTCCAGTTTTACATAAGACTCAGGTTGTATTTCTAAACTGTTCTCCAACCACAATCACTTCTTCAGGCATTTAGTCTCTTCATTTTTATGATGCATCCTTGATACACAAACTTTGAAAGGAAAACCCTGTACTTTGCATTTACTGTTCTAAAGCAGGCCTCAGTGCTGCTCACTTCTTCCTTTTCCCTTAAAGCAGCCAGTGATAGATACTGAAAAACAGCTGCTTCACCTCCTCCTCCCCAAAAAGCCTACAGCCTTCTTCAGAATCTTATCCCTTTTGAAGAGCACCTTTTTCATGTTACGAATTTGTTGGCAGGGCACAGAGAGCTTTCTGGGCACCATATACAGTGATCCCTGGATTTGTTTCCATTTGCATGAAGAAGTTAATTTCTTGCCTAAAGTTTAAAGGAACCCCCTTCTTTACAACTCCTGTGAACCTCCTCTCCTCACTCTTACTTTGCTTTCATTATTTTTCCTCTACAATTCACTGCTGGTTTTATTCTTCATCAAATCTTGATTTATTTTGCAGCTTTGTTCCTCACTGTGAGATTTTCCACTCTTCTTGCTGTTTTAGGCCAGTGACCTTGCTCATTAAATACTTCCATCAGATTTAACCATACAAATCCTTGCTTCTGTGGAAGATGTTAGAGGTCTGCCTTTTTGATACGTGGATGGTGTTAACTCATCAAAGTCTATTCCAGTAATGGAGGTTACTTTTGTTATTTTCCGTTTTCTTTCACCCTGTAGCAGCCATGTCTGATAGCAACAGGCGCTGTGTGCAATGCTGTGTGAAGATCTGTGGGTATTTTTTTGGTCAGGGGGTGAGAAGGTAGGAGGACAGATAGGATTTTTTATTTTAAGTACAGTCCCCTGAATAGAAGACAGGGAACAACGACATCCACAAATCATCCCATCTTCTCCATAAAGCTCCTGCCTGAGCAGTGATGCACTTCCACAACACTTGGTGGTCCCCTAACATCTGAAATGTATTCAGGAATTCAAAACTACTTCAGCTGAAGTCGGTGGCAAGATTCAGCTACTGAGGAAGTGTAAAAACACAATTTTAGGTGTTTTGGTTTGGCACGGCATCAACAGCAATTGTATAAGGACAACATGCAAAGGCAGCGACAAGCTAAATTTGATTTCTGCATAGAATAATTTGTATTGCATACCTTTCTTGTTCACAGCTATTTCACACCCCTAAACAGCTATGATTCCACTGAAGTGAAGGAACACTTAAACAGCAACTCTCTGCTTGAAGGACACAAAACAGGAATAGGGTGCAGTCTTTTGCTCTCTACATATCTCAAGCTGGATATTGATTCTGCACAGCTCCTCACTCTGATGAATTAGACAACTCTGACTCCACATTACCTACACACAGTACCAGTATTCTTTCATTAAAAGAAAAGAGATGTTTACTATTATTGCTCAATGGGCATCTTCTAACTTAAGTTTCTCATTTTAAAACAGTATATCCAAAACTTTCCTCTGAAACTTCTTGCACTGTCCCCGCTGGGGCAGCTGAGGTTGCTTTTAGTTTCGCCAACACAAAATGCATCATACCTCTAACTGAAAGAAGCACAGATTAATTTACATTAGAGTAGCATAGGATCTAGTAATGGGACTTCTGGCGTAGGATGCAAGATATAGAAGTCCCAAGCTCGTGCTACCTCTGATTTACATCAGGACAATACTTGTCAAGTGTATTGTGTATTGGTCTGTGCCATAGGATCATGACACCACAGTCACATTTCTAAATACAGCCTGAGAGATGGTGAGAAGTGACAGACCACAGGAGGCCCTGAAAGCAAGACTTTTATGAGCAAAGATGCAGAAAGAAGCAAACAGAGATCAGGCTTTCCTGCTGAAACTGGTTCACTTCAAGCAAGTAACAAAGTACTCAGTAGGCCAGAAGAAAGACTTCAAGTTTAAAAAAAATAATAATTCAGAAGCTTTTGGCTTGTATGGAACGGGAAATATTTTGAAATCTCAGAATCTTAAAACTGAAGATTATTTCCTGTTCTTTCACCCTCCCCTGCCCTCCAACTGAAATGGAAAGATGAACCTCTGGGCTAGCATTCAGAATGCCTGGATTCCATTCCTGCCTCTCCCACAGGCTTCCTCTCTAAGTTTCTATTCTCCTACATTCTTCCAGCTATTAAAAAGGGAATATTCCTTTCCTCCTACTAGATATCCAATTTGATCCTTTGCCTGCACAGTTCTCATCTCTGTTTTGCCATCTTCCTTGAAGCGTTCTGAATTTGGACAAATATTCTACCCCTTCTTAGGATTAAGTTGTCAACCTCAAGAACTTCATACAGTACTAAGAAGAAATCTATCATGCTCAGGTCATATTTCAAACTTCATATTGAAACAGAAGCACTGCATGAGATCTTAAATCCAGTTGATTCAACAGCTAGCTTTATTTGAAAGGATAAAGGTCTTTTCAATGATCTCAATTATTTCACATTTTAAAAAGTAGGAAAATACCCACTTCTCTAAGCCACTGTGACTCACTGATCACAGATGAATCAGAGTATCCAAGCAAACAATATTACTGGAACCTTGATTCAAAAAGGTAGTAAGCCTGTGTTCCAGTCCCTTTGGGGGATGAAGAACATGATAACAAGCCTTCTCATGTGAGAACATTCTCTGGAAACAAATAGGCATGTAGCACTACAAGCATGTAGTAGCCTGATGTGGAAATGTGCTGAAAAGAGTGTAATATTGACCTTAAACTTGAGTACAATACAGCTTTATCTGATGTCATCTAATGATAGCTCCTGATTGTGGTATAGCTGTGGGCTAGGTTTGAACTTGATTCCTCCCTAAACTGGTAGATCTGGCATGTCATCTGGGACCACTTCAAACAACTTTCCTGGCCCAGCTGTAGGTTCCCACCCCTGCATTTACACTGGATCCTGTAGCAACACAGCTGCAAATGGAATTGGCTTGGCGATCTGACAAATATCCATTCACCACAGGAGAAAAAAAAAAAAAAGAAAAAAAAAGCAGAAAAAAGAGAAAGAAAGATAAAGATTTGTTTTCACTCAGAAGAGAAACTGAACCATTTTGCCTTATGGCCACACAATCATTAGACTAAGAGGAAGGAAGAGTGTGGGAAGTTACAGCTGTGGGTAATGGATGGGGACTGCTCATATTCTTAGCAGCCTGCAGTCACACTGTATTAGGTGTAATGTGAAACTGCACCCTTGGTTGCTACGAGAGATCCTTGCTAGCTTTCTCTGAAATAGCACACTGGCTAAACCACTCAGCAATACTAATGTACATCACACAAGGGTGCCATTACAGGGGAACTCTGCCATTCAGACTTCACTAGGCTGAGCAACTGGGTTACCAAAATGTTAACTGCTGCTTCCTCTGCTGCTGCTTTTTGCTCTGTCACCATGATATTTTCTGTGTTTGGGTCACACCACTTCACTGCTTCAGCTATTCTCTTTGAAATACATCTGAAAGAAAAGTATTTATACTAACAATGACCACATTACAGCATAATGAATTTTCACTGAATCTGAATGATGATATTGATCCCAAACGTCCCACTTGATGAGGCTCCATGATTGCTGTTACAGAAACGTTAACGTACATTGACAGGCATACATAGATACACACTGGAAATAAGATATGAGAGCATGTATGCTGTTAGATGGTTTTTAAGATACATTTTTCCACAATCAGTTAAGACATACATGATCCCAGGCCTGTTACAGTTGGTGTTACAGCTGGAAAGATTAACATGGTGAAAACAGAAAAGAAACAAACAGAGAAGGAATACTCACCTGAACCTGAAGATCCAGGTTTGCAGAAAAAAACTCCACAGAGGAAGGATCAGCAAGAGAAAGAAAGAAAATAAAACACCTTTCCCAGCAGGGGGAGGGGAGAGGGTCAGCCCTTAAATGCTTAAAAGGGGTCTGGGAAGGGTGGAGCCAGGCACACAGCTGAATTGCCTTCACCTGTGCTCCCATGGCTGACTCAGTCCTTTCCTCAGGTGATCAATCAGTGGTTCAGGCCTTGATTCAACAGTTCCCATACACAGGCCACAAATGACTTCAATAGACAAATGATTCCTCTATTATTTGGGGGACTTATTTAGTTAATCTAAGTCAATATTTATATATTTTCTTCCCAGATGCCCATTTGTTCTTCTATGTTCTTCAAATCAAATTGGCAAGTGATTAGTCTTTAATAAAGGATATGACTTTGCAGATGCAAAAAAGGAATATAAAAGACACTGCAATGCAGCAGTGCTAACAATGAGATCAGCATGAAAACAGAATGCAAAGTTATTTTGTCTATTTAAATTGATGCGTACGTCAGTTTATGTGAAGTGCCCAAATGAATAAGCATTTCAACTCACATTGCTAAGTTAATTATAGCAGGTAACTTTAGTGACCACAGTGGTTCAGATTGCAAGATAGTTTCCATGTTCTGACATTACAGTAAGGTGTTCACAGCTTTCTAAAAACACTTACTTCTTGAAGTGAAACTTGTTATTCTTAATTTCTGCCTGATGGTGATCTATTTTTGTAGAGAACATCTATGAAAGTGTTCCAAGTGTCAAAAAAAGGAAGCTACAGTAAAAAAATATGAGTACTTCTGAGCTATTTCACTCAACACTTCTGAGCAGAAGTGTTTCTTGAAGTGTTTCTGTGTTTCTTGAAACTTAAAGAACCTACAACCTTATCCAAAGCCCAGGAGAACTAAGGGAAATACCCGCAATAACTGCGGCGGGCTTTAGATCAGCATGCTGTACTTAACAAAGACAGTTATCCTTGTTTGTTTTAAAAATAATACTTGGTTTCAAACCAGATATATGACAGCCTAAATATCTGTTGTTGCAAAGGTACCATGGAAAACTACAGTGGATTGACTGTTTGCTAAACCTGGGTATGTGGTTTGCAAAAGGTATGTAATAATGTTAGCTAAATCTAGATAGGTAGTATAAAATACTGTTATTTACATCAGTATAGTTTATTTCTACAAAGGAAGAGAATAAACTATAGTGGGATACATTTCTTCAGATATTACAGATCCAATCAGGGTATCTATATTGAAAAAGAAAACACACTAAATGGTCTTTCCCAAACCCCACAACATCTTAAACTCATCTCATGCTGATACCAAGCTTAGATGCAGAAATCAGAAGCAAAGAACATCTGAAAGCCCTTACTGACAATGAATTACTGTTTCCTTCTTTGAAGCTACGTTTCCTCTCTTTCAGCACACGTAGGGCAGGACTAATACCTAGTTCTTTTGAAAAGATCTATTCCTTTAGCCCATGTGTAAACCAGAAATATAACAGTCTGTAGCTGAATAGCTATTAAGCATTTGAACTTCCTGGAAAACTGAAAACACCAGACCAGCTAGTTCTTCAAGCAGAAGAATCTCTGGATAAATCATTTTTTTTTTAAGAATATCTAGCTTTAAGGAGAAAAACAAAATCTACACGTCCTTCTCCCTCACACAAATAGTTAGACTATTATTAAATCCTCAATTAAATTTGCATAGTTGCAACCACAGACAGTTTCAGGAAATGCTAAATGTCAGTGCCAGGAGCATCACTTAAGGTGGCCATCCTTAAGACAGAGCAGAGCATCCCAGGGGAAGAACAAGAGGCAAGACTCCACGCCACAGAATTTTCTCTGCAAACAGAGCAGCCACTTCAGAAGGATTCAACTATTTAAAACCCCTTGAAAATTTCAGTATCTCGTCTACAAAAGTCAGTTAGGCTCTTCTTCAACGTCAAGGAAGGGAGACCATCCTATCCACAATGTTCATACCCCCTGACACAGAATGAAATGTCTGCCTAAGCTATGTGAAGTGTGGTGCAAGCTTGGATGATCATCTTACAGCAAATTTTCAAATGCAAGATGAACTCTCCTTCTTCCCCTCCTAAGTCTTCCTGTTTCTTCGTTTTTCAACCACGAGGTATTACCTGACTACAAGGATAATAGCATCTTTTTACTACAGAGGATTGATTTAAAGATAAATATATGTAAAGATGGAAATAAGAAATGGGTAACTATCTGAAGAAGAGAGACAAACTCCAGTGTCCTGATAAAGAATTCTCCATATGTCATTATATAGCTCCACTTAAGTGAGCAGGAACAACTGCGTATGCAGTCAAGTGTAAGTACCTGACTGCAGGATCGGGTCATGTCACCAGCTATTTTCTTTCCCTCGCTCAGGTTAAATGTCTTCCTCACTACTGTGGTTAATTCTACTCCAGAAAACATACAGCTACTGTACCATGAACACTGTATATGCTGACGGGGAGACACTACTTTTTGCATGTATCAATTGAATTACTTCAGCCGGAATGCTGTAAAAGTCTTTCCATTTAACAACTTCATGTATCTGAAGCACACAGTTCAAATTAAAGAAGACTTAAAATCAGTATTTGGCAAATAAACCATCTGAAACACACGGAAGTCGGTCTTTTAAAGTAAATTACTGGATTATTTCTAAAAGCAGGTACCCAAGACAACATACATGTTTGTTCCTGAGAATGTTTGCCGTCACATTTCAATGTTTAAGAAGCATTTGTATCTGAAAAGTTTGCATGTAAATTGTGGCAAAGATCATCATCTTGGGACATCAATACCATATTAATGAACCTCCAGAGCAGCATTTCTATCATATAAATGCATTCTCTTCCAACCTATGTTCAAATATGTTGATGGTTTCAAACTTTCACAGCAAGTTTTCTGCCTTGGAAAGTATTCCTGATGTTTTTTATTGTTGCATTTTGTATAACCTGACATCTGTTTAAAATACTTCAGGAAAGTGACTGCAAGTGTTCAGAAATAAACAGACATACAGTGAAATTACCCAAGGTACCCCATTTTATCCTTTTTTTTTACTACAGTTGTACTCAAATCTTTTGTATTTCAGAGTCTAAGTCAGAATTTCTAACTAGAGGTCGTTAAGTTAATGGCTCAGCTTTAGTTAGCAGCTAAATAAAATCTGTGATTTTCAGACACGAAATCAATAGAAACTCCAGATACTTAATATCATAAGTCTGCAAATCAGCCTCGTGCATTTGGATGGCTAAAGATAATAATCAATTTTCAGAAGAGCTAAATGATCTCAATTAGAAATAAAAATAGTTACCAGCTCTGGAAAGTAAGTGCTGTTGTTACAAAGTATTGATCCGTTCTTTATAATTGCCATCCTTTGAGTTTTTATTTAGGATAAAAACAAACAAACACACACACACCAGAACAAAACAAAACAGCAGAACACCTACTTTATACAGCAGAACAGCTCTAGCCAGGATGCATAGGGCTTTTCTGTACTCTACTGTACTCTTCTGTACATTGATTCGAAGCAAAGTAACTTTGCTGAAGTTAAAAGAATGACTTCCACATATTTGCAGAGAAGAATCCTGAAATTTCATCAGTCATACATGTCATTTAACTTTCAGTTCAAATGTAAATACCCAGATCTAGAAAAAGGATTGTCGCAAATCTTATGAAACTCAAAATGAAGAGAACAGATTGCATCAGAGAAAGCTTCAGCTGCAATAAGAAATGTGGAACTTCTGCTACAGCATCTTCACAAATAATTCTCACCATAAAGGGACAACTTGGCTTTACAGGCACTGCGTACTTCCATGTTATTAGAAAAAGTTTGTACAGGAAACAGAACTAAAGAAATTTCATCTCCCATTAAAAAGGACAGCAACAGGAAGGTTCCACCTAAAAGATGATTAATTTAGAACTTGTTTCATTGTCTGGAGTATCAGAAGCAAATTTAAAAATAATTTAAAATAAATCATTAATCACGCAGAGCACAGCGCTGCCTCCAATTGCACTGCAAAGCAGAAACGCCGTGTGTTTTGTTGACAAGTGAGATGGTGCCAGTACGGACAGGACTCCAAACATTTTGTTTCTTACAGAAAAGCATTCCACGGAGACAAGCTAACAACTGATGAACATTTGACAATCAATGGCTTTTACTCCTGACACGTCTATACACCACGAAGACCACTTGTCTGCCTTTTTCAGAAATTTTTGCCTTATCATTAAAAGTAAAATGTGGAATTTCTTAACTATCAAATAGAATCTCTGCATGTATTTAAAATGGATAAATTAAATTCTTGAAAGTATTAAAAATAATCATTCGGCATGGAGATCTGGGGTTTCTTTTATATATATAATCATAAGGTCATAGAATGGCCTGGGTTGAAAAGGATCACAATGATCATCTAGTTCCAACCCCCTGCTTCATGCAGGGTCACCAACCACCAGGCCAGGCTGCCCAGAGCCACATCCAGCCTGGCCTTCAATGCCTCCAGGGATCGAGCATCCACAGCCTCCTTGGGCAACCTGTTCCAGTGCTTCACCACCCTCTGGGGGAAAAACTTCCTCCTAATATCTAACCTAAACCTCCCCTGTCTCAGTTTAAAACCATTCCCCCTTGTCCTATCACTGTCCACCCTTGTAAACAGCCATTCCCCCTCCTGTTCATAAGCTCCCTTCAAGTACTGGAAGGCCACAATGAGGTCTCCCTGGAGCCTTCTCTTCTGCAAGCTAAACAAGCCTCATAGGAGAGGTGCCCCTATGAGGATCTCTTGTCTCTCAAATGTCTACAAATGATTTTACCTCTACATACAGGTTATTTCAGTGAAATAATGGTCCATTCCAACATTAAATGTTAACTACTTCTAATCTGAGAAATATAGCATTCACTGACTTCTCATTCTCATGCACGGGATCCTTAGACATTGTTTCCTGTTTGACTTATTGAGCATTATGTTCAAAATAGAATAGCAGTATGTGAGCTATGCTGCAGTGCAATGGCCAGCATAAAAGTCTTGCTGAGCTTTGTACTGTGCTTATGTGAAATAATAAACCTC